GCCGGCTGGGGCTAAAGGCGGTTAGTTTCCTGGTAAACAGCACATGCCCCTCTCCTACAGTGAAGCAGCACGAAACATGTAGCTTCTTGGAAATCTGTATTTTCGGGAACGGTCCCAGGGTTCGGTCCCAGGGTTCTTCACACGTGGTCTCTGGTCTCTTTTCGACGCCGTTTTGAGCCGTCGCCTTCTTCTGCGGCACGTGTCGGGCATGTTTTGTTGCGGACTGATGATGGCCAACCAACTCGTTGCGTGGCTGCCTCACGTACGCTAGTCTATACTTTCAAGCGTACTGCAATCGAGGTGTTGAAATGCGGGAGTGAATGTTTCTGTTTTTTTTCAGTTTGATAATATGATGAATTAATTTTCTGAGGATATTAGTTCGGGAGATATTCCGGTATGATGGATTTATTTGCCGAAATTATTTCCGGTGGTTCAAGGTACTGCTGTAGTATTGATGCCGATAGGGACAGACAGGCAGACTGCTGCGATACCCTCACCCGCACGTACGTCGTACGGCAAGCCCTGTGAAAACGCTCACTGTCGCTACTTACCGTTCCCGAGCAGGGACGACGACACTCACTCACGTTTAATGCTCACGCGATACAGCGATCATTAGACAAGGTACAGAGAGAGAGAGAGAGGTGGTTGATGGCTTTTCAGGAGAAGAGCAGCTCGACTCGCTAGAGGCAGGCAGGTGGGTGTAGAGGACCGATGAACACGAGCGAGCTCGGTTAATAACGTTTTATATGTGTGGTCACACTACAGTTAGTCCTTCAGGAATAAATCCGCTTTTCGTGGAGTTTCGTGGTGGATGGACAACTCTCGGCGTCTGTCTCCCAGGAAAGGGGCGTGGACGTCAATCATGCTGCCGCACCAAGCTCAATTCCGTCCCAGGCGAAAGTCCGGGTCGTGGGTGCAGCATGTACATACATGTGGCATCGTTGTCCTCATTCGTTCATTCGGTACTCATTCTTCCAGGCAACATAAACGATCATGGTATATATATGTAGTACTACTCGCGCCGTGGGCACACACACAAGCCGACGACCCGACAGGGCGTAAGTAAGCTGAATCGCACCAAACCGCTCTTTTTCTCTAAGCAGCCCCCACCCATTAACACTCCACCCTGCGTACTTGGTTTTGCGCCCATTCCAAAGCATAGGCCAGCCAGACTACTACTGTTCGAAGAAACAACATGACCTTGTACCCCTCGATTACACAAAAGGAAAAGACAGCAGCTGAAGCGATTCCACTCCGTCATGGATGCTGTTCAAACTATCTTTGCCCGCAGCCAACAACCAACCGTAGAACGTACCGTCGTTACCATCCTCATCGCAGCATCGGCGGCCTCCTTGCCCCCCTTACCACAGGACGAAAACTTCCCTAGCCTACACGACGATTGATTCCAACACGCAAACATGCATACTCGAGTAATAAATTGCACAACAGGCCGGGGGGTGAATGTAGCCCCGGCCAGATCCTGAAGCTTGCCTTCAGAAAGGAAACCACCGACACACATTATTATTAGATGTGGCACATCTGCAAAGCCCCACCAGGCAGGCCACCATGGGCGCCCCCGCAATATCAGATGCGTTTCTGAAGACGGTACCGGGAGCAATAACGAAAAAAAAAGCAGTCAAACTACTACCACATCATAGGTTGTAAACTGGCCAGGACAAAAAAACAAGGAAACACTTAAAGTCATCATCAATAAGGTGGAAATTGACACCGGGGGATTGCCAGACGCAAAGCCATAAATACTCTAAGGTGAAGGGACAAATATTGTGTCCTCCCCCCCCCCCCCCCCCCCCCCGTTCCCCCCCCCCCCCCG